TGAATTAATTCTCTAAAGACTGCAGCCGCCCTTCTGAAGTCAGTCTGTATTTTAAACGGTCTAAAGACACCGAAATTTCGCTACAGGAAGTTAAACACACTTAAAAAAAAAAAGGAATGCATCCAGAATTCCAATTTAATCCTCAAGTTAAAACTGCTCGCTGCACTCCCAAATAACACACGCAAATAGTACAAATAAATGTCTGTGTATAGGCATCTTTTATTTATGTGTTTTTGTTTGAAAAAATATCGACTTTCCTCGACAAAGTTAGCTTTTCTGATTTCTGTGTTTTATTAGCAAAACAACTGTTTTGATAACAAAAGCTTTATTTATATTGTTAACTTAAAATTTTTTGGAGTGAAGCAGATATACATAGATAGATATGAAAGATCTTCTCCCTGAGAAATCGAAACTTGCTTCATTGGCAAGGGCCTGTAATTAACAAAGAACTACAGGGATTACTGAACTTGGACCAATTTTCTCCCAGAGAAGGGAAGTGGTGGGTTATTTAGAAAATTCAATTCCATACACAATCTGGGGAAATCTGGCATTTACACAACCACATGGAAAACAAGCTAAAATTCTCAAAATGCCATTTTAAAATCTCTCTTACCAAATTGCTGAAATTTAGGGGGGAAGTTCTTCTTGAGAAATTAGATCAGCTTAATACTTTATGGGACTGATGTACCTAGTTGACATTTCTTTAAAAGGAGATAATGTATTCCCCTTCTCACAAAACACTAGCCTCTAGAATGCTGACAAACCTGGATATGTTTTAACATCTCTCAACTAAAAACCAAATCAAAACACATACACACATATGCACCACCAGCAGCAACTACAACAAAATAACAAAAACCTACTTAATGCTCCTGCAAAAGAGGAATATTTTTACTTTTCTTGTCTCTCTTTTTCCCCCCCCCCAAAGATGTCATTGAAAATGAAGTTTCTGGGAGAGCAGTAAAAAAAAAAAAAGAAAGAAAGGAAGAAGGAAATTTTTCAATGGAAAAAATCACCTAAAATGTTATCACACAGTTTCAGCTAGCAGAGTTCACCCCATAGTGGTTTCTCATGCCTTGAAAGAACATTACTCCTGACTATAGTATACATTTAGATTAGAAAGCCACTAAAACCTTCAATTTTTTTTGTAGCCATGGCTACATAAATAAATGGCTATTTAAACAAGTGAAGGATAACAGAATAAGCTGTAGCATATATAACTAAAGTGATCAATTTTCTGCCTATATTTATATGTATATTAATTAAGCAGTTTTTGTGTATACAATAATACTTTATGGGAACACTTTACAGCTTTCAAAGCACCATCACATTTTTCTTTGATAAAGTTTGCTGTAATGATTAGCATGTGGTTTTTCTCCACAAAAGGTATAATTTTATTTATCACCTTTTTATGCATCTATTATAACACTTTCCCTCAGAGAATACGCTATCATTTTACTATGCCCTGTAATCACATATGGGAGGAGAAAGACTTGTACAAATGTATAATGTGACAAAACGGAAGATAGGCAGATACACTCGATTAAAATAAAATCAAACGCTGTCATGGATGCACCGATATTTACTTTATCTGACAGTAATTAGCTAATCTATCTGGAACAAAAACCTATTATTAGTCGAGCACAGCTCCAGGATTTCAAAGATCCTCTTTTCCGACAAAAGAATGCAAATGTCCTAGCATGAGATTGTAACTGGATAGGCGCTGGAACCAGATTTCACATTCTGATAAGTGACTCTGGAGAACCGACCACCGCTGCAGTGTAACACCACTCTGGCGTTTTCATTCCGGACAGCCCCGCGCAGTTGGCTGCGCGCAAGCTTGTTGTCGGGGTGCGGGCGCAAGCCAGGCAGGCTCCCTAGATGTGATTGGCCTGGCGGGTATCCCTGCAGGGAAGCTCCGCCGCTGGGGAACCAAATGGACCAAAGGGAACCAGAACAATCAGATGATCCCAGCCCCTGCTCAGGACTTAAGGCCGAGATCTAAGGATCCCACCCGCTAGACAAGCCCCACGCAGAGCTTCGGTTGAGGAGAGAAATTGACACTGCGTACAACCCCCTTGCTAGGCCCCGTCGCCTGTGCTCTCCACGATCCGACTCCTCAAAGGTCTCCAGTCCCTCAGGGCGTCCTGCGAGGAGCAATTTGATCAAGGACCTCAGCAGAGAATTCTTCAGACCTGGGCCAAGGATATCTGGCGGGGTAGCAGTGGTAATGGGTCTGGAGGAGATCGAACCGCGTGGGCCTGCAGGTGAGAAGGAGGCAGCCTTCCACGTGCTAAGGGAGAAGGCGACTCGGTGGACTCGGCGGCAGCAGCGGCTGTGTGGGCGTGTCTCGGTGTTCCCGGCACCCCGGGCCATGAGTTCTAAGATACGGATTTGGAGGATGAGTTTAGGATAGGCCTAGGAGCGAAGCGCCGTGGAGAAGCAAGAGAAGGTAGCAAGGAGAAATGAAGGTTTCGGTTGGACACTGGGGACAGATATTTTCTGTAGCTTTTGTCTTTTTTCTGAATCTTGATATCACTTCAAAAAACCGCTTAAAGAAGCAAAAAAAAAAATTTTTTTTTTTTAAAACTAGGAGACCAGCGGGCAGTAGGAATATTCCCAACGACAGTCTAGCCCTCGGGATGGGGGTGGAGGAGTGGGATTGCAGGCAGTTTCCTTCTTTTATGCTCGCCTGCTACCGCGACGCATGTACTCAAGAACTGCCACTCAGCAGTGCCGCTCACTCACCCTCGTCTCTCTGGATCTTTGCGCCCAGCAACTCGCGATCCGCAGCAAAAGCAGGCGCATTCTTCTCTCCGCAGCTCCGTGGCCTGGTCTGGAAACCCCAGCTCTGCCCAAGGCCTCAATAATCTTAGAATTCAGAGCAGAAAGGCATCGGGCGCCCTTGCGGCTGAAGGATGATCATCCCGGAGCAAAGTCCAGCTCACATAAAGTCTCCCGCACAGCCTGCGGGCCGCCACCAGCTAACTACTCCCGGGCGCACGTGGCCGGCGCTGAATCCCAGTTCCCCAGGCAGCCCCAGGGGCTGACTCCCCGCACCATTTCCGCTCCCTCCTGAACAGCCCCGCCTCTCCCCCCTCCCGACTGGCTGTTCATTCTCTCCTCGGCTTTGGGCACCTACTGCTCCCGCCGTTGCGGGGAGTCCTCCCATGACAGCTCTCCGCTCCCGTTCTCACTCCCAGTCCGCTGCGGCCGGGAGGTGTTGTCCACTGTCCCTGCACCTCCCACCTGCCCCTTCTAGCTGAAGCCAGTGCTCCCTCCGCTCTACCATCTTGGCGCAAAAAAATGCTTGGAGAGGCTAGGGCCAAATGAGGGGTGCCATGGTTGGGCCAAATCGGTCCCTATTTTTTCAAGGCCAGCCCTGAGGACAGGTTTTTCTGTAGGTCTCACAGCAGCTCCTGCTGCTGCTCACTGGGCTAGAGGTGGTGGTGAGCAAATGCCTATTGTGCAGGAAGATGATCTCTATCTGTGCAGAGTTTCCAGAATCACAAGGGACACCACAGATTTGCCCACAAAACAACCAGTGCCCTAGACGGACGCCTGAAGAGGCGTGGGTTGGAGAAATTAGAAAGATGCCTGAGAGGGTCAAGGCCTAGACCCAGGCATCCGATTTCAATAGACGGAAAAGACAGCCTCCAAGGCTGGGTCACCTCCCTTGTGAAGACAGATCCTGCTCTCAAGACCGTATGAAACTACCAAGTGTGTGAAGCCCTTGAACCCCGAACATCATCACCAATGCAGTCAACAAACACTGCTTGACTTCTGATGCAGAACAGTAGTCAGTGACATGTATCGAGCACTAACATGAGCAGGCCCTGCACTAAAGTCTTGGCTTGTTTTGCCTCATTTATCACTGGCAACAACCCTGAAGAAGGTACTACTGTCTTTTTGTAAGCAAAGAAACTGAGGCTTAGAAACACCCAGGCCATACACTGTGTAGGCCAGGATTCAAACCAAGAGCTGTCAGACCACAAAGTTCAGTATTTACTCCGTCGTCCTGTCTCTCACATACCTGCTTAGTGAGGCCGCTGGAAAAGCTATAGAAGCAAATGTAACTGGGGCTCTGCCCTCCGGGGGCTCATGATTTACTCGGGGAGACCAGGCAGGCAATATAGCTATAGTACTAGGCAGGAAGTGATAAGTGACACGAATGTCCTTTACTAATACGCGCTGCAAGTTCAGATGCGAGAGAGATGACTTCCGGCTAGGCGATGAGGGAGCGCTTCCTTGGAGGAGGTGGCATTTGAGCAGAGCTTCAGAAAACAGGCTTGTCATGGAGACAAGGGTGGAGAAGGCTTTCCGAGTGGAGGGAACAGCTTGAGCAAAGTCAACAAGGCGAGAACGCACACGTCGCCCGTCCATAGATATATAAAACATTCCATCTCCTTGGGGATCCAGTGCCGGGTATTTACAAGCCAGGAAGTTTTCCTGCCTCCGCAGCAGCTGGAAAAACCACGTTCCTGGGCTATCCTTCCTGGCAGTTGGTTCTCAGGATGCCTCCCAGAACTGGCTTTACTTGGGAAGATGCGGCCAGTCGGGATGGGAATCGGTCGTTCGAGTACCCCAGGCAGTGCAGCCTCTCCCGCAGCCACTACGACTTCGAGACTCTATACTAGTCCTTGTCTATTTCTGGTAGCTACGCAGCACCCCCACTCAGTGGACGCGGAGGGGTGTGGTCTACAGGAGCTGGAACCAATGGGGAGGGAGATCGGGGCGAGAGCCCCGCCCCCGACGTGACGCATGAGCCCCGGACTCCTGCTTCTCAGCCCCGGCCCCAGTCCCTGCAGTGGCTGTAACAAAACCCAGACCCCCAAGTCCGGGCCAATGGAGGCGATTTAGACTGGAGTGGGACCACGTCTGTCAAAAGCCCGACTCGGCAGCAGCGGCGGAGTCCAGAAGGAGAGCTGGAGCCGCCGAGCTGCCTCCCCGCCCCCGCTGGGATTTATTGAGTATTTGGACTGGACAATTAAGTGGCCCTGATGATGTTACCAAGCCCGGTCACCTCCACCCCTTTCTCAGTCAAAGACATTCTGAATCTGGAGCAGCAGCAACAGCACTTCCACGGCGCGCACCTGCAGGCGGACTTGGAGCACCACTTCCACTCGGCGCCCTGCATGCTGGCCGCCGCTGAGGGGACGCAGTTTTCGGACGGAGGGGAGGAGGACGAGGAAGAAGAGGGCGAGAAACTGTCCTATTTAAACTCACTAGCTACAGCCGATGGCCACGGGGATTCGGGGCTCTGTCCCCAGAGCTTTGTCCAAACGGTCCTGCGAGACTCGTGCAGTGGGCCTAAGGAACATGAAGAGGAGCCCGAGGTCGTGAGGGACCGGAGCCAAAGTGAGTAAAGGGGGAAAGGAAACGCGCATCTGGAGCAATGGCGGGATTCCCGCAAACAACTCACCAACCTTGCCGGCACAGCTGCCCGCCCCTTTAGCTCCTGGCTGGTGTCATGCCAGTTCCTGGTCAGCGACAGCTCCGCAAAACTCAGATGCTGCAAGGGAGCTGGGGCGGAGGGAGAAGGCCAAGGTGACTCCGCCAACTACTCCCCCCAGAGGGAGGAGGCGATGCAGCCCCGGTGGTTATTGCTGCCCTGATGCGGATAAGCAACATGGGCTAAGCTGCCGGGTGCTTGACAACTCTAGCTCTTCCCAAGAGCTAGAGGGGCATGAGCCTCAACTTTTCCCACTTTCCCCTTGGCGTGAGATGCGTTTTTTGAGGCCAGGACAGCCGTTCCCTCTTCTCGGAAAAGGTAGTCCAAGCAGGTTATGTGTTGTGCCTGGTGTCCGCAAGGCGCAGGAACTTAGGTAGAACTTCAGTGGGGGTGCTTTCCTCACTTCTCCGCCTGCAACTCTGCGTCCTTGCACCCGTGGCACCCGGGAGAGAGCGAGGGGATGCTGGGAAAGCGCATGGGAACACAGTTCATTCCTCACTCGCACCCCTGAGGCAACCAGCCTTTTTGAAAGCTTTGTGTCCCAAATTGTGTGGCTTCGGGATGAGTGAAAAACGCGCCGAATTTAGATCCTGTCTGCTCAAGTAGGACGGGAGGTGAATTGGGTAGGGCAACAGAATAACTGAATAAAGCCTCCAAGGAAGTGTTTGTGAGGAGACAGAGCCAAAAGAATCTCCTTCCCCAAGGGAAGTTTTGTTGTGGCGGAAGCCAAGGCCTGTGCTCTGACAGCTCCCCTGGGCCTAAAATCGACATGAAACTGCCTAAGTCAGTCAGTCAATCAAATTTCTTTTCTTTCTAAGGTAACGGCTGTCGTTACTCAGACACTCAGTTGTGGGTAGGTAGGCATTTAAAAATAAAAAAAAAAAAAAAAAACCAGTTCCTGGGCAATAGCAGTACACTCAGACATTTCTAAGCAGGAATATTTTTTCACATCGTACGCATTTCGGTCGCCAAATACCAACGTGCCTCTCACACCTTCAGCTATTTATGACGGAAAAGAAGGCAAACGAATTTGCAAATATTAGAGTTATGTAGTTACAAGCTTTCATCCTGAAAATAATCATTAGCAAGCCGAGCTGCACATTTAATACAGGGTAATCTCTCGCAGATGCTGAAGTTCTAAATAAACGCGCCCTAACTACCCCTCCCCACACTACATGCCTCCACCCGTCAAGGACGTGGTGAGGGGCCTTGGGCGATCGAAGGGTCCCACGGCGCCAGAAGTCACAAACTTTCCCCAAAACCCAAGCAGTTATTACTGCACGCTCCGCGTTGCCACCAAAAAGGGTCACAGTGCTCCTGGACCGGAGCCGCGGAGAGGCCGGGAACAACTAAGAGACGCTGTTGTTTTGCTTCTTCCGCAGAAAGCTGCCAACTGAAGAAACCTCTGGAGGCGGCCGGAGACTGTAAGGCGGCAGAGGAGAGCGAAAGGCCGAAGCCACGCAGCCGCCGGAAGCCCCGGGTCCTCTTCTCGCAAGCCCAAGTCTTCGAGCTGGAACGCAGGTTTAAGCAGCAGCGGTACCTGTCGGCGCCCGAGCGCGAGCACCTCGCCAGCAGCCTAAAGCTCACGTCCACCCAGGTGAAGATCTGGTTCCAGAATCGCAGGTACAAGTGCAAGAGACAGCGGCAGGACAAGTCTCTGGAGCTGGGCGGGCACGCGCCCCCGCCGCCGCCGCGCCGAGTGGCGGTGCCGGTGCTGGTGCGGGACGGCAAGCCGTGCGTCACTCCTGGCGCGCCCGCCTACGGTGCGCCCTACAGCGTGGGCGCGGGCGCCTACTCCTACAACAGCTTCCCCGCCTACGGCTATGGGAACTCGGCAGCCGCCGCCGCCGCCGCCGCCGCAGCCGCCGCGGCCGCCGCGGCCTACAGCGGCAGCTACGGCTGTGCGTACCCGGCAAGCGGTGGCAGTGGCGGCGGCGGCGGCGGGGCCTCCTCGGCGGCCTCGGCCATGCAGCCCGCCTGCAGTGCGTCTGGAGGCGGCCCCTTCGTGAACGTGAGCAACCTGGCCGGTTTCGGGGGCGGCGGCGGCGCGCAGCCGTTGCACCAGGGTGCGACAGCGGGGGCCGCGTGCGCTCAGGGTACCTTGCAGGGCATCCGGGCCTGGTAGGGACCGGGCGGGTAACGCGGCAGGCGACCCCACCGCAGCCTGGCGCCGCGGGACTGAAGAGCGAGAAAGGCTGGCTCTAAGGAAGGACCAGGTCCCCTCGTTAAAAAAAAAAATAAACATATATACATACACGTCTCGCTCCCCAGGGCCCCGGAGCGCAGCTTACGCGAAGTCCGGGGAAGGGGCATCTGGGGCGAAGAGGATGCGCATGAGCCTTCACGGAGACCATCTCTGAGGCAGAAACGCTGACTGGGTGCCGGGAGGACGATGGCCTCAATCTCGGCCCCAAAGGGAGTGCGAAAGGCTGGGACTCAGGCTGCCAGTCTTCTCTCCCAGAGCAAGAAGGGCTTCTCTTTCTCAGCCTTCTTGCGGCCTCAGCAGAGCGCTGGCGGAGAATTCAAGGACAGAGAACAGCATGAAGGAGAGAAAAATGGGCGTCGTGGCTTGAGAAATTCCCAGGCCTTACCCACCCTCTGCTCACTTTGCGGGGCTGGAGTGCCACACTACAGTCCGTTTTCCTTTTCCCACCCGCCTGCCCTCCGCAACAGATACCTCGGCCTGGATCTCCAGATTGTCAGGAGGCGTAGAACTCTGCAAGAAAAATCAGCGGAGCGAGATCAAAAGTTGGGGGTTTGAACAAAACCGGGACCTAGGGGCCCACCGGAGGTGTTACCGGCTTTCCTTCTGTTTCCTATTCTGTATTCAGCACATATAATATATATATATATATATATATAACTAAATATATCCACACGCCATGTACACACCCGCTGCCATACACTACAGGAGTCAATAAACAAGGTGCAATATTTTCAAACGGTTGGCCGGCTACAGACTTTGTTTAGCCCACAAATGTAGGGAGGGATCCTTCAAAAGGGCTGCGGGGAAGGAAAAGATGCTCTGGGAAAGCAGTTCCGCCCTGGGCAATCGCAGGCCTGGTCTCTTCTGCCTCAGCCCCCAGGCTGCAAGTCCGGTCTCCAGGGCTTTGTTCATTTATTTCTCTTTACTGCCGTAGGGAGGACAGGTCGGAGACTCAAGGCCTTTTGAGGTGGGGCTTTGAAATCCCCCCAAGTTTCACCCAGAAGCTTGGGCTAGTATCTGGGCCTGCGTTAGATCAAGGCTTAGACTCTGCCCACCTCGAATGCCTCCAGAGTAAAGGAAACCTCGCCCCTAGGCCTAGCCGTAGGCGGCGCGAAGGCAGCTCCATCTTCGGCCGCCGCCCGGCCTTCCAGCGCGCCCGGGGGCGCTGCGCCCCGCCGCGGCCGAGCTCTCCCCCTCGGTTGCCCTCCCTTCTCCCCCGGCGGCCGAGGCTTTATGCGGCTCCTTGTCACTTGCGGAGAATGCCTGTGCGAGGCCTGTGCTGCCACACGGCCGATTGTGAGCGTGCCAAGGCGGGTGAATGGGGAGGCCTCAGCGCGCCGCGCCATTGTGGGGCCGGGCCTCGCTGAAAGGCGGCTGCGGGCCGGGAAGGTGCGGAAAGAATGGCTTTTTATTGGAGTCCCGAACAAAAGGTGTGGTAGGAAGGCGAAGTCCCCTGCGCGAACAAAAACCTCAGCGCGTCGGGATTGACGTCCCCCCCGAGCTCCCCATTGCTTCTCAGAGCGGGGGCTTTGTGCAGAGGTCTGCTCAACAGAGGGACGGAGAAATGCGCGGGGGTTTTGTTCCCCACTTTTTGTGCGCTGGGGGAGGGGGCGGCCAGGAGGAACGGGGGCTGGGCGGGCAGCAGGGAGGGGCGCGCTGATTAGGCTGGGCCGGCCCGGGCGCCGAGAGGTTCAGCGGGAGTCGGCTGCCTGAAAGCAGGGTCATTATTGCTACAAGTTTAGCAATTTCGCCCTTAGAGGAGGGGGCGGGGGCTGCTAGGTTGCTGCGGGGCCGCCGGGCTGGGGAGCTGCAGAGTCCCGGAGGAGAGGGAAGAAAAAAAGGGGAGGGGAGAGAGGGAGACAGGCCGGCAAGGCAATCCACCAAACCCACTGACCGCCCAGGAAGAGGCTTGGACGCATCCAAAAGGGCCTAGCGGGAAGCAGGACAGGCGGCGCCTGGCGGGGGGCGAAGACCCGCCCTCCCCTTGCCTCCTTAGAAGCAGAAAGACCCCCGAGCCAGGCACACCAGGCTGCGGATCCCTCAGCTCCTCGCCGCCAGTTTCCTCCTCTCTCAAACCGCCCTGCAGTTGGGACACTGCCTCCCACCACCGCGATGTCCCCAACCCCCTTCCTAGAGAGCCTTCCTCCTGGAGCTATTATCTTTCCTTGAGTTTCTCAGGCTAAGGGCTTGGAGGGGATTCTTGCCTCCTAAGACGTTTCTCACTGCCTGCAGCCTCGGACTCCATCCATCCATCTATTCACAAGTATTCACTGATACTAATACTACGAATACATATTCACTTCAGTGTTCTGGCCACTGCAGAACAGTGAAAAATAGAAGTGTCCGCAGGCTTAGGACGTTGATTTGAAGGAGTGTGTGTGCCGGGGAGATAGACAACTAACAAAATAAATAAAAATAGGTAGTTGATTCTAAGAAAGAGAACCAAGTACTGGAGGGAGGATTCTTTTGAGTAGGTGATCAGAGAAAGCCACATTGAGATCAGGTTCAAGCTGAATGACAAAAAGGAAGCCAGTCCAAGCAGTGCTTTACTGTTGCCGCCTCCTTGTCTCTGCATATGTCCTCCCTTCCTTCTGGAATGCTCTAACACCCCCATCTTTCTGGTAAACTCTTGCTCCTCCTTCAAGGCCAAGATTTTTTCCTGAACCACCCAAGTGGGGGTAATCACTCTCTAATAGTGCCACCAGAGTCTTAGGTACTTTCCAGCATCACCACATAGTGTCATGAAAAAATTTATTTGTCTCTCTCCCTGCCATGTGAGGGCCTAGTGAGGTCGTAGGGGCCAGGCTGGCATCGTTTCCCCCTAGAACATATAACACAGAAGGAGACCATGGGGCCAGGCTGCTTCAGAGTGGCCATCCCCAGTGCAGATGGCCCCAGTGCTGTGGAACTTCACACTGGGTGCTGGCTGCAAGGGAAGATGGGCAGAGCTAGACTCTTGGACCACCTGGGTGGAGCCAGAACACCAGAAATCGACCACAGAAGACCTGCAGCCTATCCCCATCCCAGAGGAATGTCGGGCCTTGGGCACCCCATAATGCTTCGGGGAGCGGGGTGGGCAGGATATGGCTTCCCCGAGGGATTGCTGCCCCTAGCCCTACAGCTTAAAACCTAGAGAAGAAGGTTGAGAACTTGGTGGTAACCTTGACAAGAAGACACCACGTTTAGGGGTAGGGAAGAAGACTCAAGGAGAGGGAAGGGTGGAGCGGGGTAGAAAGCTGGAATGTATGCAATTAATCCAGGACCTGCATCTGAGACCCAAATCAACTTTTCCTGCATTCACTAGGTGAGAAATATGGTTAGTGATCAAGATGCTCCCCAGCACGGAGCACTCGCTTCTAAGCCTGGGTTTCAGCGCGTGCATACTAGGAAACCCAAGGCTCTGGGAGCAGATTCCATACCTCTGCTGGGGGTTTCCTAAGTAAGCAACTCCTTTTTCTCCCTCCTGGTCTGTATCCTGCTGGACCGTGGCCTCTCAATGCTCCCCAGCGCCGGATAGCCACCTTCCTTGCTTGGCTTCCTCCTGGCCCGCATTAGTCTTCCTTCACTCTGCATCCATCCCCTCCGCTTCTGGAAAAGGGGCGTGTGATTCTCATAGAGGAAACAGAGCTGGTTCTATGAATTGGCTCCTGCGCACTTTGCGTGTCTTGAAATACTTAAAGCCAGTCTGGACCAGCCCCTTCCCCGATCCCTATCCTTCCCCAGATCCTTCAATCTTTGGGTATAAATAGCTCACATCTCTTCACTGAAGGATTTCCGTACTGCTCAGTCGCTGAGGTTCCAGTGCCTTGGCCATCAGGGTGAAAACCCTTGACTAACAACTATTTCTTTCTTGAGCTCCCTCTCTGGGGGAAAAGACACCCTCCCAGACCCAAACCACCGCTAGTTACTGATTGTCCTGTGATCCAGGAGGAAATGTAAAATCCAGACAAGCCTTCTAAAGACCCATGAGACTGCGTAGGTGAAGTAAACCATCCCTCTGGGTTCTGAGCTCTAAAGCAGAGAAAAGCGATAATCCTTCCCCATCCAATGACTGGTGTCACATTAGGCTCAAGCAGTGGGTAGGCGCTACTCTTGGGGCTTGTGGAATAGGTTCTAGGACAGCATTTTTTCTTTCTTCAGAGCCTCATCTTTGTTATGCCCGGTGTCCGAATCCCCGAGCGGGAAGAGAGAAGGCCTCCAAGACTCTAAGCTGCCTGCCATGGCGTTACTTCTGCTCACCTCACAATGTTGAGGGGTTAAGAGGATGAACTCTGGAGTCAGACTGCCTCTATTTCAATCTCAGGGCCACCATAAACATCATTAGAGACCTTGAGTAAGAAACTCTCTGAACCTCAGTTTTCTTCTCTATAAAATGGGTATGCTTAATAGTGCCTTCTTTGTAGGTTTTCTTTCTGACAGTATAACACACAAATATTAAGTATACAACTCAATGAATGTTTATATATGTAAGTGCTCATGAGCCAATCACCTTGGCTTTGAAAATTAAAGGAGATGATCCATGTAAAAGCAGCTTACTGCCTCAGTGTCTTAAAAAAACAAAACAAAAAAACCCGCCTGCCAAGTGCAGGAATTCGGTTTCGATTCCTGGGTCGGGAAGATCCCCCGGAGAAGGAAAGGGCAACCCACTCCAGCATTCTTGCTGAGAAACCTCGTGGAGAGAGGAGCCTGGCGGGTTACAGTCCATGGAGTCCCAGAGTCGGACAAGACTTAGCGACTAAACAACAAGCAGTGTCTGGTAGGCATCAGCCAGGCCGGTGCTAGGCGCTGTGTATAACTCAGAAGCCCAGGACTGTTTTCTGCCCTTGGGTCACTCATAGGTGCGTGGGGAGAGCGGGGCGGACCGGAGCCATTGCTGATAAACCAGGGGCAGAGGCCACCTGGCGGGGCCGTCAAGGCTGGCAAACATTTCAGAGGTTCGGACTTAAGGAATTCGACTGAAGAGGGAAGTGAAAGGAGGTTCCTGGGGGAGCCACGAGTCCCCCCAACCCCTGCTGCGGGAAGGAAGGGGTCAGGAGGGAAACCTAGCCACTCTGGGCAAGGCGACTCCAGGGCCAGGCCGGGGTGGGGCCGGGTGGGCGGGCGCTCGGCGGGAGAGCAGCGCGTGCAGGGGGCGGGTTGGTTCAGGGCCTCCAGCGCAGCCTCCTCCTCCTTCGCTTAATGGTTCGGGGCTCAGGGGGGATATCGCAGGTGCCTTCTCCCGTCTCCAGGGGAGAACGGCGGATTCTCGATGCTTTGAGTTCAGTGTTCCGCCGCCGCCCGCTCCGCTTGAACGGGAGGCGCCTCAGAACCCACTGCGGGTGGCCCAGGTGCCTCGGAGCCGGGCGCAGCGTCTCACACCGGCCTGGGGCGGCCAGAACCCGCTGGGCAGGGAGCCCTCGGCGAGCCCTCGGAGAGCCCAGAGCGGGAGAAGCGGCCGTCCTGGCGGTCACTACCGAGGCGCGGAGCCAAGCCCAGCGCGCGGCGCGGAGGTAAGACGCTCTGCGGGAGGTTGGTGAGTCCTTGTGGCTTCGGGCCAAGTCCAGGGGGGCCTGGGGCGGAGAAAGGGTACTGATCTCAAAACTACGCTTGCTTTATTGAAAAGACGCTCCCACAAAAAACGTGAAATGTAGGTAACATTTATAGCAGCAAAATTTTCTAAAGGGAAGTTTAGAAAATTTATCGAAGTATGATACATACAGGAAAGACCTAAGTGTACATACAGCTCACTGAATCTTCAGAAACTGAACGCTCTCTGCGAACCACATCTAGATGATAAAATAAATCAGTGCCCGACCCCTACCCCAAGTCCCCTTATGCTCCCTTTTTATCACTACCATCCCCACCAAGTGAAGTCGCTTGCTCGGTCGTGTCCAACTCTTTTTTTTTTTTTTCCATTTATTTTTATTAGTTGGAGGCTAATTACTTTACATCATTGCAGTGGTTTTTGTCATACATTGAAATGAATTAGCCATGGATTTACATGTATTCCCCATCCCGGTCCCCCCTCCCACCTCCCTCTCCACCCGATCCCTCTGGCGTGTCCAACTCTTTTCCAGACAAGACCACTGGAGTGGGTTGCCATTTCCTTCTCCAGGAGATCTTCCCAACCCACGGGTTTTTTTGCCCCATTTGGAACATTGTATAAATGTAATCACATAGCTAGTATTCTATCTGCCTGGCTTTTTAAATTTGTGAGATATACAGTCTGCGTGTTGTTGTAGATTGCTCATTTTCATTATTTTACAGAATTCCCTTGTGTGGATGTGCCACAATTGGTTCATCATTGTACTGTTGATGGGCATTGGGTAGTTTCTAGATTTGGGCCGTGGTGACTAATGCGCCTACAAACATCCAAGAACAGTACCCTGTAGAACTTTCTGCAGTAATGAGAGTGTTCTATATCTGTGGTGTCCAGTATGGTTGCCGCTAGTCACATGTGGCTGCTGCTCACTTGAACAGTGCATATATGACTGAGGGATTGGATTTTAGTTGTCTAAAATTATGATTAATTTAGATGCAAAGGGTCATATGTGTTAGCACAGTTCCAGTATTCCTTTTGATGACCGTAATGCACGTTTCTATTCTGTACATACCTAGGAGTGCCATTGCTGCATCTTAGAGGATGAAAGTTAGCGGAAGTAGATTCTACCAAGCAGTTTT